GAATGTTGCAAATTTAATTATTTTGCAAATAGCCCCAGAAGATCTAAACTGATACAAAAGAATAATCGTAAAATAATATCGGTGACTTATAAGCGAATATGCAAGTTAAATCAAATAATTATTTTCCTAATTCTCTCCCTGTCCCTCTCAGATTTAAACTAATCTTAAAAAACCTGCTATTGCTTTTACTTTGCTTTCATATAGTTTTACACTTTTTACAAGTCTGCAAAAGGCAGACATGACAATTCAACCTGTTATATGTGTTGATGTTACTTGGTGTTTGTCTTGAGTTTAATCTGCCTTATCGCAGGGGATGGGTGATAGAGATATGGCTGGGGCTGCAGGCTAGTCTGTCCAAGCGCTAGGGTGTCTTGCGTATCTCTATATTTTCTGGTCTCTGGTCCTTCATATCAGATGACAGCAGCTTAACAGTTTTTGGGGTTGGACCCTGATAATTTTATTGTTGATATATTCATACTGATCATGTATAATCAAATCATCTTTGTGATATTATTTGTAGGAATGATTTGTCTTAGAATTTGGAAGCAATATCGTGAAAAGTTAAGTACATCTATATTATTAAAACCTAGGGATTTTAAGATATTCAGTATTAACCTTTGGAAAATGAGAGGCACTTAATTAACATTTAAAAAAAATTAGATAGAATTAAGTTTCAGTGATGTGTATGGAAAGATTCCTCTCTGTCTCTACAATGATAGGATTGATAGTTCAAGTTCTCACCTTTGACCTTGAGGTGTCTGTATTAGTTCATTGCATATATAAAAACAGTGCTATTGAAGTCCACACTGACCGTGAGTTATGAAGGATTGCCATGACACTCCCACTGGGGTTTGGCAGTGCTGGAGGAATTTTAATAAGGAAGTTACTTCAATAACCACTTTTAGGGTCTATAGTTCAGAGGTTCTCAACTGGGAGGATATTGCGGTGTGTGTAGGTATTTTTGCTTGTCACAATGTTCTAAAGCACTACTGGCATTGATTGTACCAGGGCAGTGCTAAATGGCCTTAAAAGAAGGGACAGTCCCTCCCAGGGTAGAGTTGACTAGCCGGAAACGCAGTGGTCCTTTGTTGAAAGACACTGCCGAAGTCTCAGTTCTTTCATTGTAACATCCCTTGTTTTTGTATAGTTTAATAAAGAATTTAACTTAAAAAATATCATTTGAGATGTCAGTGTTGATTTGCATTGCTTTTGATATCGTAAAATAGTTTATATGTATAATTTTACAATGTGGTGAGTCAAGAAGGAGAAAGAAAAAAATGAGGGTCTGATTTTTAGCCATTAGGGTTAGAAGTGATTTGCAGGATGGTCCCAAGCAGACAGGTGTACAGTGGACTCTTAAAAAAAAAAGGTGTTAATATTCTTCTTTTCCGTGGAAAGAAGTGATGAATGCACTTCTGTTTGACAAAGAGGGAACGGACATTGTAGAAAGTCAGAGAAGATTGTTAATCATGTAACAATCTGAATTACAAGTTTTTCATTTAGAAAAAGTCAAGATTCGTTGAAATAATGAATGGAAGAATAAAATGTTTTCAGTACAGACGGCTCTCTGCATCCATGGGTTTCCCGCATCTGTGGGTTTCCCACATCTGCACCTGCGATTCAGCAGCCATAGATGAAGAGATTAAAATAAAGGTTAGGACGTGTACTATGTAGTTAGGTTGTGGCTGACGTGTACTGTGTAGTTAGGCTTACGATGATTGCATCTGTGCTGAACATTTACAGACCTGTTTTTCTTGTCATTATTCCCTAAACAATACAGGATAACAATTATTTATATAACGTTTACATTGTATTAAGTATTATAATTAATCTAAGGATTTAAAGGATAAGGAGGGAAGTGTGTAGGTTATATGCGACTACACCATTTTACGTAAGGACTTGAGCATCCGTGGATTTTGGTATCTGTGGGGATTGGGTGGGGTGGGGGGGCGGTGTCCTGGAACCAATCCCTTGGGAATACAGGGGGATGACTATACTTTAATATTTTTGACATCAGGTTTCAGATGTCAGGGTATCTCAATTGTTTGAATTGTGCCTGTAAGCTAGCAGCTACAAGTGGGAATGAAAAGCGAGGGAGAAAAGTGTCAAAAAGAGGGAAATACAAACGAAAAGCACATGGGAAGAAGAAGGCAGCATCTCAGAAAATGGCAGCTCCACCCTTCCATGTCCTTGGGGTAAAAACTCTGGTGTCATCCCTGACTTCCTCTCATTATTTCATACCTAGCATGTAATGTGGTCCCAGATCTTGGGGCTCTATTTTTAAAATATATCCAGGATCCGGTTACTTCTCATATCTCTTCTACCTGGGGCAAGCCACCATCATCTCTTGCAGAGATTGGGGACTTAGCCTCCTAAGACATCCACTTACCTCCACCCTGCTCCCTTACGGTCTCTTTTTAAACCTAAGTCACATAAGGTCACTTCTGCCACCTTCAGCCTCCCAGTGGTTTTCTATCTCTGGATGCAAAAGCTATAGATATTCTGGTGAACAGTGCTTACCTTGCAAAGCCCATATATGTTAACTTGAATATTCGTAAGGATGACTTGTCCTAGAATTTGGAAGCAATATCTTGAGAAGTACATGTATATTATTAAATCCTCAGATTTGTAAAATCCAGATCAAGCTCTTATTTTTTGTAATATCTTAATTTTCTTAATTTGTTGATCTGCCTCCCCCAATTCCTGCTCCCACCCTAACACCTTTCTGACGTGACCTCTTCCCTGTTCCCTCTCACTCTCTGTGTGCCCGCCACGCTGGTATCGTTGCCCTTCCTCAGATACCCAGGTGTGCTGCCATAAAGGGTTTCTTTTCTTACTCCATGTACCCACTTCCTTTTGATGCTCCTTCCCCATACCTTCCAGGCTTATCCTTCTCCTGACTTTTAGGCAGATGTCCCTTTCCCAAGGAGGCTTTCTCTGACCATGCTGTTGGCTAACAGGCAGACAGAGATAAAGGCATTGTAACCCCAACTCCTCCCTATCTCCAACTTTCACTTTCTACATGCTGTACATTTTACTTAGTTGTTTATTGCAGATCTTTTCCTCTAGAGGGCGGGAATCTGCCCGCTCACTGCTCATAAACAGTGCTTGACACATAGTAGGTGCTCGGGTGGAGGCAGGAGTAAAAAGTTGGTGAAATATGGTTAAGCAGCCATTGCAGAAACCAAAATGATGAGACCGTGACTGCGTTCTGTTAACCTCTGTGAATTTGTGTCCGGTTGGGCGAGGATGCTGGTACTTGCCTTTGTGAAGATTAACTGAGCTGATTTTTGCGAAGGTAGCATAGTATGTGCAGGTCTTCGAAGGAGCTTCAAAAAAGAGAGTTCTCATGCTGCTGCTGCTGATTCTTGTGAGAAGAAAACGACAAACCAAAAGAAATGGTAACGCTTTGCAGCTCTTTCCAAAGGTCTTTCCTTCAAACATTTGCATTTTACAGCAGGATTTCTATTCCGTTCCTCAGAGAGAACTCCCCATGGCCAGTGTTAGTTAATCCACATACAAAAGCTCAGTGAGAGGCAGGCGAAGACTTGTTATTCACTTGGGGCCTCACACAAGATCCTCCTAGTAGAAGTGTTTGGCAGTCAGAAGGCATTTGCGGTGGTGGGGTTCAGGTGTGCACACCTCCGGGGCCACCAACCTCGTCGCTGTTTGACACCCAGTTATACATTTGTAGCTTCATAACGACCGAGTTTCATAGAAAAGGATCAATTATGTTCAATCTAGGATGTATACTAAGGGAAGGACATGTTAAATACATATGAGAAGGAAGCTCAGTATTAAAATGGAAAGGAATGGACTTCATGGATTGACCTCCAGTTACATGAAATTGTATTCACTGAGTATTTACTTACGAAGAGTTTATATTGGTCTGGGTAGACTGAGCTCTCTAACAAGATGCAAGTTATGGAATACATTCCCTGTGCTGGTTATGAACGAAAGCTAGTTCAGATGACCAGGCCCTCACTTAAATGTAATGCCTTTGCTAAAGGTGATCAGGTGAGTGTGGTTAAGTGGTTCAAGGAAGACTATCCTATTGAATGAATTGGAGTGAAATGTCAGAGCATTGTTCTTTGTGACATTTTGTAGTATGAAGACTGTCATTAAGTTACACATTCTTTGGTTTATGAACAATTAGATCATAAAGTCACAAGATGAGCAGCGTCTCGGGGGTCTAGGAAGGAGAGAATTATTATAAGTTAATGAAAAATAGGAGAATTATGTTTAATGATGTGTGTGTATACATGCTGAAACATTTAAAATATTACAGTAGAAGTGCTACATAAAGTGGCATGATTTTCATTTATTATGAATGGCTCCAAATGGCTCCTAGGATCTATGTTGCAGAAAGGACTATCTTCATAGATTATTATCTAGAAACAAGTATGTCATATGCGCGCATAAGAAATGATTTTGTCTTGTTATTTTATTATACTATGAAATTTTAAAGGAATAATTATAGTTTCTTTGAAACAGCTTTATTAAAACATTTGCATTTTACTACAGGGTTTTCGTTCTGTTCCTCAAAGAGAATTCCCCATGAAAATGTTATTAAATTCACCTATCTACTTCAGGAACTTGGAAAACAAGATAATGTAAAGAGGTCTGATTGGGTTTGTTTTCAACATGGTGTCGATATAAGTAAAAGGGTAATAAGCTGCTCAGCAATGCTTTGTGTTTCTATTAACAAAGCTAATTTATTTCTTAGGAATGATGCAATTCCAAAGCAAAAATTTGATGTCATTCTAATGAGTCTGCTTTCAATTAGAGAGTACAGTGAAGCCCTAGTAAAGATTAGTAAGAAATCTATTTTGTTTAGATAATAAATCTGCGAAGTAAGCTCTCAGTGTAGATTGAAGTTGATCTGGCATGGAGTTTCTTTATGAATAGCCCTATGAGCAAACTCTACAGTTCTGTATGTGGTTTTAAATCACTGTAAATGTGTAGGCAGGTACATATTACAATTGTCTGTTTTTCTTTTTAGGGCTCATGTAATCAAAGAAGTGTCTTTGTTGTGTGTATCTTTTCAGAACACAACAGGAATTGAAAATGAATCAGGTGAGTTTAAAAATAAGAATTTATACAAATACATTACCTAGATGTTAGACCAGTTCTTGATTTTTAAAAGGTAGTAACATACACATTCATTCCGCCCAGATTTTCCTTCCTGTTTCTTAATGCTGTTAACAAGCTCATTGCTTCCACAGTGTGCGTTTCGTGGAGTGTGCATTTCGTGGAGTGTGCATTTTTTTGGTGTTCTTTGGCACTTCTGTGGGGCCCTGAGTAGAGGGCTCATCTTAGGGACCTTCGTTCAGACTTTTTTTTTTTAACCTCTTCCTTGCCACACTCTAGTGTTAATTTTTAATTTTTGTTGTAGCTTATAAAAAATAAAAGCTTATTTAGCTTTTATTTTGAATACTTTTTATTTTGTAACTACTCATTGGTTGAAAAGAGAAGATTGAAAGTTACTTTAGAGACTGAAACTGATCAGATGCATTCTTAAGCATTCTGTCCTTAAAAAACCTGTTGCTGGAATAGAAACAAGAGGGCAGATATTGAAATGTAAGATATGCTTCTCCTTACAGAAGGACGCGGGATTACCTGGAGATTAAACAGTTCTGCCATGGATATTTCTATAGCCTCAAGGTGTTCTGATAAGTAAAACCAGTTATGTGGATTTAATATATTCTAAAGGAGGATTCTTATTTCCTGTTCTTACTATCATTCACTTGCGGTATAGAAATTTATGGGTGTCAGAAACATTCTCTTTTGAAATCTTCATAAACACATTTTTTAAGAAATGCAAAGGACAAAACTCAAAAACGTGAAGTCTATAATTTTTAGTGCTTAGCGTAAAGCTATAAGACTTGAAAATATTTTGAATCCCTCATCAACTGAAACCTCGGACACCTTTTTATCATTTATAGGTGCCTCTAATCGAGATCGCAAGGCTACTTTTATTAGGTGGCCAAGTTTAATAAATTCAGTCCTGTGTTGCATTGAGATGTGAAATTTTTGGAATGGATTCTTTGATTTCTTTTCATTACTTCTTTATCAAAAATATGTTTATTTTAACGCAGAGGACCATACGTCATAAAAAAATGAATCTGGTGAACACATGGAGCACATGGTTTCTATTTTAAAACTTGCAGCTTTACTGGCATGCTTTTGAAGGCAGATTACTTTTGAAATGAAAATGGGGTTTTTCTATGAATTTTCGTAGTCATTGCCCATCAAAGCCATGTGAAAATATTTGTCACAGATTTCATTTATTTTCCTATTTTAAGACCGATTCTTAATGTGGACCCAAAGGAACTTGGTTTTCCACTGCCTAAGAACTGTCATCAGAACGGTCAGTTTTGGACCGGCGTGATAGCGGACGCTTCCAGAGCGGAATCTGGGTATTGACGGTGCTGTTGTTACGTCAGTGTTCAGCAGCCATTTATTTCAGTGGCTCCAGCCTTAACCTTACGCTTAATAATGCTTTAATTCTTATACTGTATTAGGCCAGTAATATTTTATTTTTAATGTACTTAGACCTGTTTGCCTCTTCGCACTTTTGCTTTAATATTTTATTTATATCGAACTCGTGTTTAAAGAAAGTCCACATGCCATTCAGAAGGGTTGTGACCATTTCTTTTTTTGGCTCTTTTACAATTTCATTTTGGTTTTGACATGTTTTAATATCAGATCTGCAGAGGACTGCCTTTGATGCCAAATGCCAAATATCAGTGGAAAAGTGTCCTCTTATGTTTTTAATGGTTAGCACATTTCTGATTCGGGTATAATTTAAATGGTCTGGTGCTAACGAAACTTTTATTTGTATTATAAAAATTGTCCACTTTTTGTGAATAAAGTTTCCAGCATCATTCGTTATCTTTTCATTAATTGAGAAATATTGGTTGCATGGTGTCTGATCTTGATTATTGTGTCGTGACATGAAATCTATGAGTGTTTTTCAATAGTTGTCCCAGTAGTTTTTAAAAATTGTTTCAGGATGTTTTATGTTTTTCCTCATATTTATTCTTCGCATTTACACCCAGTGAAAATGAGCAATAAATGCTTGAAAAACTTCAAAATAATTACACAGAATTCAGATTTTTAATTAAAATCCTGATGGAGAGTTTAGGGTTAGATTTTTTCCCTCTAGGGACCGATCAACACCACCTTGATGAATTTTAGCTGTCAGATCTGTCTCTTATGATGGGTGTGGTCTCCACAACAATAGCACAGAATTATTCATTCATGTATACCTGAAAGTTGATTTTTAAGCACTAAGGGATCCTAGCAGTGAGCATACCATATCGTTTACAAGCTAGTCCTTTAGAGGGAACAAGAGTCCAAAGCCCAAGGCCTCCTGGTATTTTAAGCACTGACTGTTAGAGCAGCATCCTGAACTGTTCAGGGTCATCAGTGTCTTTCAGTGCATTCCTGGTGCGGTCACCAGGCTTTCCCTCTAACTCCAGTCCTGGGCCAGGGAGCCCCCAGACCCCCGTGTTCTTCGTCCTCCTTTCTCTTCCAGTCTGTTCTCCACTCAGCACTTACCCCTTTCTTACTATCTCTTGTCTTCCCAGGTTAGGGCCCCGCTTACTCTGCCCGTGAGCCTTTGTCCTTCCAGCTGAGCCCTGGTTGGCAGGCTAGGGGGGCAGTCGCTCCGCTTCCTCCCTTCGCTCTCCATTCTTCTCTTCTCTTCATTTGCAAATCTTAGATATTCTGTATAAGAAACTGTATATGCAGTAACGTTGCACATCCATCCTAACATTTAACTTTTAAGATGTTCCACTATTCTTTTTTTCCTAGATTTACCTAGGAGAATCTAGAACTTTATAAAGGACCCTCTTGTTGAGTAAAGGGTTTAGAATGCCTTATAGCAGTTCCCCTGCGTCCTTCCGCTCAGTGTCCTTTCATTACGATGTTGATGGGATGCTTGCTGTAGGAACTTAACTCTTGTTTCCATCAATTAACCTCTCGTAAAATTGGTTTTGTTAGATGTCGTTTTACTTAAGTTGTAGAACCTATTGGTGACATTAAGGAGACTTATACTGTACTTCACAGAACATCCAAGGTGAGCAAAGTTCCATAATATGCTCATAGTAGCTTAAAGTAGGTATGCTAGAGTTTAATACCACATCCTTTCTATTGAGTGTTTAAAATAACATGCCAGGCACTTAGGTAAGTATTGCAAATACATTTTCTTATTAATTCGGTCTTTGCATCCACTTTATGAAGTGTAGGTTTTATAACCATTTTATGGATCAAGGCATTGAGGCACAGAGTGGTGGCCATGGCTTGTCCATGATCACTCAAACAGTAAGTGGTAGAGCTCTAATTCATACCCGGGCCTGTCAGATGCCAGAGCCCAGGTCTTGGTCACTGTGCTGTACTGCCGTCAGTCAGGATAAGTTGTGTTATGCTACCCTAACAAACAGGCCGTTCCAAAATCATAGGGGCTTAACACAGCACCCATTTATTTCTTGTTCGCAGTACATATCCAGTGTGGATCTGCTATTGCAGTTGCTCAAGAACCAAGGATGATAGTGGCTTTGTCTCAACTCCCATCACGTCCATTTACATTTAATTGGCCAAAGTTAGTCTGTGGCCATATCTTACTTAAAACTTGAGAGAGAGGAGCAGTGTAATCCATGAGGTGCCTAGGAGAAGAGGAGAACTATAATATTTGGGTACAGCCCCAGCAATTTATTTTCCAGCTTTATGAAATATAATTAACATAACATGTAAGCCTTAGCCTTAATGATATAATAATTAAGTGGCCTTGATTACTAATTTACCTAGTCACGCTTAATTTTTTAAAAAGAATCTTTGTATAATTCAAAAAATGTGACTAATACTTGAAATTTTCTGTCGGTATAGCAGCTTATGATTGCAGCATCTCTACATCCTGAGCAGTAATCTATGGTATTTCTAGTAACCAGTAGCAAAGCAGCTTTGCAATTTAGCCTTCTAAATGTGGCTTACAGTTTTATATAGTAAAATAGCAAAGACAGCTTTTAATCACTTGATGCTGCAGATTCAACCCTGAGAATTGTGGTAAGCCATCCATAGTTCCATTATCTTAACTGTTCTGAATGTTCACTTATTCTCTCATCCATCCGGCATAGACTGCGTCCCAGTGCGTTGTGGATTCTGCAGTGAACCACACAAGCAGGGGCTCTGCTCTGTAACCTACATACTCATAGACTAGACAGTTAAAAAGCAGGAAGGTGTGTATGGCCATGCTACCCTGAACGAGCCCGATCTCGTCTGATCTCGGAAGCTAAGCAGGGTCAGGCCTGTGTTAGTACTTGGATGGGAGACCACCTAGGAAGACCAGGTGCTCTAGGCGTAAGGGATTGTAAGCTGACAAGGTCCTTGCGGTCTGTGAGGTCAACCAAGGGTTGCCTCGCCTAAAAAAAAAAAAAGGCGGGAAGGTAATTTCAGATAGTGACAAGTGCTGTGAAGACTGCAGCAAGGGCATGTGATAAAGAATGATGGATGAAGGTGGGGGATTCCCCGGGATATATGGTCAGAGAAGGCTGTTCTAAAGAGGTGATTAATAATATAATAAATTAATAATAGGGTTATTATTAATAATTAATAATGGACTCAAGGAATAACTAAGACCCAGATATATGAGGATCTGGGGAAAGAAAATTCTAGGCAGAGTGAACAAACAGCGAGTGCAGAGGCCTTGAGGTGGGAATGAGCTAGTTCAAGGAACAGCACGCCAGCAGCTGCAGCTTGGCAAATATTTGGGACCCTGGGGCTAGATGACGTTGGTATGAGAGGCAAGGGCTAGACTTAAAAGTCTTTAAAGGCCCTGGGAAGAAGTCTGTTCTTTATCCTAAGTTCACTGGGAAGCCATTGGACAGTGACATACTTCAATTTCCATTTTTAAAAAATCACACTGTGTCGTGGAGACTTGATCGAGGGGGCAAGACTGTGGTCATATGTTCACTACTGAGTCTACATCGTATTTTAGGGCAGTTTCTTGACTCAGACAACTTAATGGCCCTGCCAGCTTTTTGGAAGAGGGTACTTTTTAATGTATTTTAGAACTC